TGTTTGGGCCATCTAGGCAATGTTACATAATGACCTACTTTTTTGGCTCCACATCCCCTACAGAGAGCTTTCTCTGGCTTCTCTGGAGACCCAGTTTTGTTGTTATCCCAGCAGCTAAGAAATGAGGGGGTAAACTGCCCAGGCTGAATACACAGCAAATTCTGTGCCTAATGTGTTCTTTGGTGTGGAGGTTCCAATGATGTCTGCACAGGCCTGGCAGCAACTTCCAATGTTTCGAGGGTTAATGCAAATCTGTGAAATACAAAACCTCCAGTGTAGCTCACAGATTTTCTCAAAAATGCTAGCAAATTACCCTTAATTTTGCTCACTGTACAGCTTTATGGGTAGTACTGGTTGACTCCCACTGAGATTTATGCTGCATTGCAAAGGTTGAACCTTTCAGGCAGGCAGTGTTTCCCTGTGACCCCTGCGTTTACAATAACTATTAAAGACGACAGTAAAACATATATAATGGACATGGTTCAAATATTTCCCACTGCTTCTGAAATGATTATTTCTCCACAAGAGCAAAAGACCAGTGAAATCTGGGCTTAAGGCGAGGCAGCAACAAAAACCATGGGTTTTGAAGTTTAAGCTAATATTTAACATAGGATAAGAACTACTGGTAAATATTGATTTATCTTCTCTCCTATTCCCCTAGGGGCTTAATCTTGCCACTCAGAACATTAAACAATTGTTTATTATTCCACCAGTATTATAAAAACAATACTAGAATTCCTTTTCTTTTTCTTTTTTCTTAAAAGAAATAAAAAGCATCTAGTATCCCAGCAGGACAGAGCAACCGCGTATGTGTTGACTGACACACCCACACGAGAGTAGGCCTTGTTGTAACTCTGGTTTTTACAGGGACCTGCTTCTTTGCCTGGTCAGGACACAGGTTTCTTAGCTGCAACAATATTTGAAAGAGTTCTTTTAACTCTAGCCTTAGGAGGTAGCAAAAAGGATTGGTAGAAAGTGATTGAGCCCACAGTGGCCAGCCACGTGAGACTTGCTGTCTGATAGGCCCTTTCTGAGATGATGGCAATATTCTATATCTGCATGGTATGGTTGCACACATGAACCACATGTGGCTGTTGAGCATTTGAAATGTGGCTAGGGCAAATGGGAAGCTGAATTTTAAATTTTATTTCAATCATTTGAATTTAAATAGTCACATATGGCTCGTGATTATTAGACAGCACAGACCAATAGTTTCCTAAGAGTTAACTTACATTTACATATGCACTCACATATGTGCAGTAAAGGACAGCTAAAATACAAGAGTGGTTCTGATGTTGCTGTGAGCCCCACCTCCCCTCCCCTGGGGAGTGGCAAGTCTCAGGACTATCTGGATCTCCCTTTGTAATTGAACTTTGTGCCTGCTTCTCTTCTGTAATCCACCTGGGCTGCTATTTTTTAAATAACAATTTTATTGCAATGTAATTCACATACCATACAATTCATTTATTGAATGTGTACAATTCAGTGATTTTTGCTATATTCCCAAAGTTAGGCAACCTTCACCACTATTAATTTTATAACATTTTCATTACCTCACACAGGAAGTCTGAACCTATTAGCAATTACTCCCAAACCCTAGCACTGGGTAACTGCTAATCTGCTTTGTCTCTATAGATTTGCCTACTCTGGATATTGTACATAAATGGAGTAGTGTATGGTCTTTTCTGACCGGCTTCTTTCACTTAGCATAGGATTTTCAAGGCTCACCTATGTCATAGCACATAACAATACCTAATGCCTTTTATGAAAAAATAAGATTCCATTGTATGGATATACATTTTTTATCTACTCACCAGCTCATGGTAATTTCAGTTGTTTCTACTTCTGGCTTTTGGCTTAGTCTGTTCAGGCTGCTATAACAAAAGTCCCATAGACTGTGTAATTGACAACAGAAATTTATTGCTCACAGTTCTGGGGTCTGGAAGTCCAAGATCAGGGAGTGAGCATATTCAGTGTCTGGTGAGGGATCAGTCTCTGCTTCATAGATGATGCTTTCTTGCTGCATCTTCACATGGTGAAGGGGGCAAACAAACTCCCTGTGGCCTCTTTTATAAAGTCATTCATCCCGTTCATGGGGAACTCTTATGACTTAATCACCCTTCTTCTTAACATTATCACATTGGGGATTAGGTTTCAACATATGAATTTTGGGGTAACACAAACATTCAGACCAATGCTATGGGTGTTTATGTGTGAGTTGATGTGTGCATGTATGTAAGGTAACTCTAACTTTTTGTAACTGCCAGGCTGTTTCCTAAAGCAGATGCACCATTTAACATTCTCATCGGCAGTGTAGGAGGGTTCTGATTTCTCTACACCCTCACAACATTTGTTATTGTCTGTCTATTCGATTATAGTTGTCCTAGTAGGTATGAAGTAGTATTTCATTGTGGGGTTGATTTGCAATTCCCTGATGTCACACTGCTGTTTGCTCTCTGTCCATCCACATTCTGTTGAGGCCCATTCTGCTGGTACATTTGCTCTGGGATGCAGTTTTGCAAGAAAACAGCAAGTTCCCTTTTAGTTATTTTTTCAGAAATTATAGAACTCACTTACTCTATCATTGCTTTTGTGGCATAGTTTCCAACTGACAGCTGGGGTGATTGTATCTCACCATTTTCATGCTCAGTTAGATGTCAAATACCTTTACACTGTTCAGGGTCAGATTTCTACATAGGGCTCCTTTCCCCTAAGAGCAGCCTCTGTAAGTAAAAGTAGTATAATTCAGTCCTAGGAAAATGCTGTTTAAAATTTCCTATTACAAAAGAATTTCTCCCAAAGTCCTTTCTCAAACAGGCACAAAATATTCTAAGATCACCTTCAAATTGTAGTGGTTTAAATGATTCTGCATATGCAGAGAAAGAAACAAAATGCAAACACAGCTAGCAATGGAAAGCTAGAAATCAAGGTATAGAATGCCCTCCCACCCAGGGCGAGTGACTTGCCTTCAGAGACTGTGCCCTTCTCCCCGATCCAGTATTCAGGGCTTCATGCACCCAACTCTTTAACAAATAACAAGTGCCACAGTCACAGGTTTTAGGATGATAGCAAACAGCAAAACAGACCCAGGCTTTGCTTTCACAGAGCTAGTGGGCAAGGCACAAAGTTTAGTCAATCAAACTGGCTGCGTTAAGAAGGAATGGTATGGGGTGCTCTAGGATTGAGATGATCTGTGGCTTGGTTTTTACCAATATTCTCCTCCTCGTATTCACCTCAAATAATAATGCAGTGGGAGATACTCCATCCCAGCATAACTTGGGTATGATTTCTGTAGCCAAGTCATTCTTAGCATCTTGGGAGGTGAAGCGTTTGGAGAAACATGTTTTTGTTTCTACTGTTCCCTGTCTTCCTCATCTTTCTGTCATATTCCCACCTATCCTTTAACACATGCACCATTCAAATACTGCTTTTCCAGTGAAACATCAGCATCACTGTCAATATCCTGATGGCTTCCAGAAATACACATTCCGCTTCTCCCCTGAATTCCTGTGGCACCTTGTGCCTGCACTGTAGCACTTATATTGTGGAAGGAAAGTTCTTTATGTTGGCTTTCCTTACCAGTCGGCGAACACCTCAGAATAAGGTTTTGTAGCTGGGTTATGTTTTCAGTTCCAAACTCAATACTTTGCAAGTGATCAGTAAATGCTAAATGAATGAATGTACGAATGTATGAGTCAGAAATCACATGGGCCCAGATTCTTTCTTCTAGCTCGGAGTAACTTGTCATTGAAATAGCAATATATTGTCAATTCTTTTGGTCCTTGGTTACAATTTCCCATTGATTCCCATTTAATGGGGAAAGAGATAAATACGTTTTCCTGTTGGAACATTTATTTGTGAATCAACTACAACTTGTTAGGGAAAGAAGACAAGAAGTCAGTTGGTAAAGACCTTAAATGCCAAAGCTAATATTTTATCCTGGGAAACAGAATCTACCTCATCCTTCATAATATTATCTCTAGGCTAAGGAATGAGAAACCAGGTCTTGTAGGTCATGAGCAAGCCGGAACATGCAGGGAGTAAAAGAAGTGGGCTGGACCCAAGACAGTACCAAGGGCCTGAAGTTATGCTAACTGCCCAGAGAAGAAGCACCTCTTGACCTTGAAGATAAAAGCAAGACCATGAGTCAGAGTCAGGTGGCGGGAAGGAAGCTGGAACTAAGACAGGACTCAGGGTAAGCCGCAAGTCACACAAGAAAATGAAAACATACATCTTGGTGCAGGAAGCTCAAAACCCAGTGCTGTAGCAATAAGGAAAGCAATAGAGATCAGAGCAAAGAAATTGATCCAAAATTTAAGCAAGGGCTCAGTAATGATAATCATGACACAAGCTGATAAGTAGAGTTGAGGAAGATGCAGAATCAGAGAAACCTCATGGGAGACCAGACATCCACACATCACTGCTAGAGGCTTTCCAAGATGACGTGAGCTGAGAGCTTCCTGTCGTCTCTGTACTTAGGAGACATGCCATCCTCGCATTGCTCTTAGCCTCAGTTTTACTGTTGCTTGTTAATAGCGGGATTGTGATTTCTATCAGGAAAGGCTATCCTTAAGTTTCATAGACTGCCACAGCATTATCTAATCGTCTCCTCACCCTGTTTCAGGTAGGTTAGGAAAGTGTCTTTAAAACCCCTTTATATGTCAAAGGATGTGCATTTAGACTTTAGGAAGAACTCATAATAAGACTAACAGCTTAATAAAATGGGCAAAAGGCTTAAATTGACATTTTGCAAAAAAGATATATGAATGGCCAATAATTACATGAAGGTGGTCAACATCATCAGGAAAATGCGAATGAACACCTTCTTGTAAAACCACTAGTAACACTTAATTCTCAACACCTAGGTGAGGATGAGAGACTGAAATGCTCACACATTGCTGGTGGTCATGTAAAATGGCATGACCACTTTGGACAACTGACCCAGCAATTTCATTCCTAGGTATTTACTGGGGAGAAATCAAAAGAGAGACACAGAGGACTTGAACGTGATTATTATTAGCAGCTTTATTCATAATAGCTCAAAACTGGAAACAACCCAACGATCTATCAGTAGGTAAATAGATCAGTTGTAGCTTATGCATGCAATAGATATACTCAGCAACAAAAAGCAAACGATTAAACACCATGGATGAATCTCAGAAACATTGTATTGAACCAAAGAAGCCAAACACACAAGAATTGATCTGTAACATTCCATTTATATGCCGCTCTAGGAGAGGTGGGATTATGATGATAAAAACCAGAAAGTGACCTCAGTTTAGGGAAATTGACTTACTTGCTTTAGGGGAATTGACCTACTTGCTTAAATAAATGAGCCAGTGCTTGAACTCAGGCAAACAGAGGTCAGAGCTAGGGCCCCTTTGGCTACATCAGTCTCTCAGTTTAGAAGGAAAGTGAGGAAGAATGAGGCACAGCAGCCAGGGAGCAGAAGGAAGCCAGGTATCAGGAGAAAGGAAGGGCAGTAGTCACCAAGGTCACATTTCTGTCCTGGGCATGACGCTCATAATGGCACCTGTGATGGAAAGAGGCTGTTTCCATTGTGGCCACCTGCAGGAGTAATTAGGAGGGCTTGACAGATGTAGGAGAGATAAGCATCATCATCCAACTGGCCTGCCAGTAGAGGAGGTATTAAAGTTATTCTCTTCTTGGTATCTACCTTGGGATATTTATCACCAGTCTCACCTCTCCTAGAGCTGCATATAAATGGAATGTTAGAGATCAATTCTTGTGTGTTTAGCTGCTTTTGATCAACATAATGTTTCTGAGATTCATCTATGGTGTTGAATCAATAGTTTGTTTTTCGTTGCTGAGTAAATAATAAAGTTGTTTTATTCTTAAGATCCTTTAAAAACTCTTCATGATGTAATATGTATCCACTGCAGAAAGAAAATATACATATAAGAAGAAAAATTAAAATCTCCTATGATCTTATTGTCCCGTGATAATCTCTGATCTGTTATTGTTTTTCAGTAAATAAAACTTTAAACAAAAATGGGATCATACTATATGTGCTGTTTTATAATGTGCCTTTTAAACAACATATCAGTGAACATTTCTCTCTCTCAGAGGCTATTTCTGTTGGATACATCACATCCCATGGATGGATATATCCAAATTCGTTTAACCATACCTCTGCTGGTACATATTTAAGTTGTTTGCAGTTTTTAGTTACTACCTACTAACCTCCTACAAGAGAACATCTTGGACATAACACATTTGGTCATTTGTTCAGTATTTCCTCAAGGAACGCTCTAAAAGTAGAAATTCTAGGTCAAAAGGTTTAGGTGGCCGGGCACGGTGGCTCACACCTGTAATCCAGCACTTTGGGAGGCCGAGGCGGGTGGATCATGAGGTCAAGAGATTGAGACCATCCTGGTCAACATGGTGAAACCTCTACTAAAAATACAAAAAATTAGCTGGGCATAGTGGCGCGTGCTTGTAATCCCAGTTACTCAGGAGGCTGAGGCAAGAGAATTGCCTGAACCCAGGAGGCGGAGGTTGCGGTGAGCCGAGATCGCGCCATTGCACTCCAGCCTGGGTAACAAGAGCGAAACTCCATCTCAAAAAAAAAAAAAAAAAAAAGGTTTAGATATCCTTAAAGAATTTAATACGTATTGTCAATTTTTGTTTTTTAAATGGTTTTAGCAATTTACATTCTCACCAGCAATGAATGAATGTGTTATTCTGTGTCACCTTAACAGGTGGACTTTAACTCTGGTCCCTGTGCTAAGTGCTACCTCTTTTCATTGAAACCTAATCTGTCGGGATTAGAAATTAACCTTCGATGTTGTCTAGCTCCATCTCCCAAGCAATGCCTGAATTTCCTTTTCGATTCTGCTAGTTTGAAATGAAAATCATTGCTTTTTAAATGTTAATCTGAAAACATAATTGATGTTTGAATGTAGTAGAAAAATTGGAGGAGCCAGAGACAGTGATCAGGGGGTCAGAATACCTGGATTTCAGTGCTGGCTGTGCCCCTGTCTGTAGCTGTGTAATCACGAGCTGACTTATCCTGTCTGGGTCTCTGTGTCCCCATCTCTAAAACAAGGGGATTGAGGAGGGCCCAATCTCTCTACCTTGTCTGTAGTTATGACATTCTGTAAATCTTCGGCTATGTAGAGCATTCCTTTCGAGGGCTGGGCTTGTAAATTAAGAGTGGCAGGCCTTTGAAATGTAGCTTGTGTGGGAAAGGAAACACACCCAGCAGCTTTGCTGCCGGATCAGAATTCTACGTTCTTTGTGAATAAATTACATGTTGGCTCCCGGATTGTTCCAGGTTGCCTCGGGTTTTACAGAAGTGGCTTTTTCAGAAATGGTTCCCATTGCCGGAAAGTGGGTGTTAATTTGTGCCTTGGCTATTTTTCAGGGCACATTCTGGCAAAATCCTGGCATCTTTTTCAGAGGATCAGCAGATGTAATGACCTGAAGATTACTCCCCTTGCGAGAGAACACACGCTCTGTGTAAATACCCCAAATCAAGCCTGTAGTCAGAGCCCTAGGTTTTATAATGGAGCACTTACCCTGGGCCCGCCAAGGGTTTTTGATCAAGTGAAGACACTCTGGGGCATGTACCACAGGAAACGGGGAAGCTGAATGCTTAGTCATGGTTAGCATTTCTGAATGAATGGTTAGCATTTCTCCACTGAAATGGGATACAGGTGGTGTCCTGGAAGAGAAGACAAAGCTAAGGGAAATGAAGAGAGAATAAAATAGAATAACATTTGTATCTGGTGCTCCACAGTTTGCAGCCCACATTAACATACTTTATTTACTCTACATGATGTCCCTGGGCTATCATCATTGCCATTTTGTCCCAGTTCATCTACCCAGCAAATGCAGGAGCTGGACGGTTGGTGGTGAGTGGCCCAATCACATCTGCAACAACCTCAAGGCTTGACTTCAGACGCCATAGATCCCAGCTTCCTTGGCAGATGCTCATAGTCTCACACCTCCTTTCTCCTCTGTGCCAATTGAAAAATTACCCTCCTTTCTTACTCTTTGAGTCCATGGTGATAAATTCAAGTCATTTGCCAATCTTCAGTATAATGCAATTGGAAAACACTGTCTAGTATTTCTAAGACTCTAATTTTTTAAAATAATTTCAACTTTTAGTTATTTGCACACCCTCTTCATAATTTATGCCATATTGTGCACCACCTGTACTATTACTAACATGTGCTTTCAAACAAAGTATGATTTCCTTTTTTTCTTGCTCTAAGAACTATAGTAACTGAAATCATTAACTTGATATACTAGTTATAGTTTTCTATAACTGATGTAACCACACCAAACTACTTGGCATATAACTTAAAATTTTGTGTTCATTTTCTGTGCTATATGATAATATCTCACTTCTGCTCCCTTTGGGATACAGACTCTCCTCTGAGAAACTAATTTAAATGAAATAAAATTTTTTAATTCCGTTCCTTGGTTGAGTTAGCTGCATGCTAAGTGTCCAGTTGATACATGTAGCTTAGTGGCTACCATATTGGGCAGGGAGAACCTTCTATCATCACAGAAAGTTCTGTTGAATGAACTCTGCCTGAGGTTTGTCCAGGGTATTTAAAGCAGAAGACATTTGACTGCTTTCATTGGCCTAAGCTAAACTAACATATAAGATTCTCAAAAGAAGGATGAATGAATTTACAGACTGCTAGCAAAAATGTCATGTGATAGTTTCTTTCACTGACCACCGTCCAAGTAAGCAGCAAGGCAAGTTGAAGCATCTGGTGTGATAATGGGTCGCTTCAACCTGCTCTAAACCTGCTGTCTCTTCTTCCATCCCCACTGCTCCCTTCCCTCCTTCCCTGTCCATGTCTCTCTCTTCGGTGTGTGTCTGTTTTCTCTTTCACGCTGCTGCTTCCTCTTGCTTCATCTCTGTCTCTTAACCTCGCTTTCATTCTCGCCTCCAGTCCTTTATCTCCCTTCTACCTATTTGACCTTCCCAACCTTCTCAATCTCCCTCATTCAAAATCTTAGTATGTTTGGATTTGTTTTGTAAATTCTTCTTCAGTAACAATAATTTCAGGCCGAAAGACATTCTCATTTGTAACGTGAATAACATGACGTTCTCATTTGTAACGTGAATAATAATGCTCCCTAGCAGAATTCCACGCGATGCGCCGAGTCTCACTGGCGTCTCGGTCCTGTGTTAATGCACAGAAAACAACCGTTTCCTGCTCAGTCCCCTGCCTGTCTCTCACTGATGTAACCACACCAAACTACTTGCTTTCCTCCTCAGCCAAAGTCTCCTTTAAAGAATAAGCAAATTTTTTTTCTTTTATTTTTTAATTATACTTTAAGTTTTGGGGTACAGGTGCAGAACGTGCAGGTTTGTTGCCTAGGTATACACGTGCCATGGTGGTTGGCTGCACCCCATCAACCCGTCATCTACATTAGGTATTTCTTCTAACCCTCCCCTAGGTGCCCACTCCCCTTCAGGCCCTGGTGTGTGATGAACGAGAAATTTTGACCATGCTTCTGTTCAGGCCTATGGAAGAAGGCCCAAAGTGCAAGCACTGTGGCATTGGTAACCTTCCTTGAGCAGACGAAAAGCCAAGCATTGCCTTGAAGTCTTGTTGGCCCTTCTGTTCAATCACAACTCTCTCCAGAGCTGCAAGGATACTGGAGGTCCCCAGAGGGAGGGTAGTGCTGTGTAGACATATGTATGCTTCATCTGTTGGCCATGAATGTCAAGGACGAGAACTGACCAGACTGCCTTCTCCTTGTTTTAATTATCCACAGATTTGAGAAAGGAAAGGCCAAGTAGACCCAAGAGCTCTCAGAAGTGCAAGATGCTCTGGGGAACATGTATGCATTGCTCGGTTCCAGAAAATAGACCCTTCCTTAGGAATACAAAGTTGAAAGTTTCCCTGACTTCTTGCAGGGAAACCTGTTCACACGCCCCCATCTCCCCATCCCTTCTAAATGTATTCAATTCGGCTGTGGAAAACTTAATTCCTCTTGCTAATGTATACAAGAAGTTATGATACCTTGGAATCTTTCGTCTGTCAGCTTTAAACCATTAAATATGGGATCCACTGTTCTCAGGAACGTGATGTGATGATCTGCTCTGTTTCTCAGACAAAGGGAGGCATTTTTCCAAGAGCAGAAGTCCCTACCTGGGTGGGAATGATAGAGACATCCTCTGGCTGGGGTTTGTACTCCTCCAGACTCTGAAAAAGAGAAAGAGATCCAAGTTTAAGTGACTTTAATCTTAGTAAAGTTTTAAAGTTTATGTTATCCTCTGGGTAGTAATAACTATAATGATTTTTCGAGTGCTTGGAATTTGTGGAGCAATATGTTAGGTGCTGCCGTAAACACAATCTCATTAATCCTCCCAGCCCTGATAGGATGACTCTCCGCCTCCACTGTTTTCTAATTGGAGGGATTTGAGTCTCAGAGAGGCAAATAATTTGTCCAAGGCAACACAGCCAATAAATTGTCAGAGCTCAGATTGAAATCCAGGACAGAGCTTTGTGGTCTTTAGACCCATTGTTCTGTGTTGGTTTATTCAGCAAATGTTTGTGCATGGTTACTGTGACCAGGCACTTTTGCTCAGGGATTCTACAATGAACTATAAAGGCAAGACTCCCAATCTTATGGAGCATATACACCAGAAAGACAGAAAAACAGGAAGTTAAAAATAATATGGCATTTTTTTAACAATAAGATAGCATGATTATTTCAGATGTCGGTAAGGCCGTAAGAACAGTAGATGGAGGAAAGTAATAGGGAATGTGGGCTGCTTTATGTTGGGGTCTCTTAGAAGGATTTTCTGGGATGACTTTTGAACTCAGACCTGAGTGATATGAAGGATCCAGAATCCAGTGTTGGGCACAGTGGAAACAGCAAGTGCAGAGGCCCTGGGGTGAGTGAGTGCCATGTCTTTCAGGAACAGCAAGATGGCCAGTTTCACTGTGTAGCCAGTGGCGGTGAGTGACAATATAAGGTCAGAGATGTAGACAGGCTTTGGATTTTGTTCCAAGGTAATAGGACACCATAGAAAGGTTTAAAGCAGAAGCGGTATGTTATCTGAATTAAGTTTTTTCTTTTTCTTTTTTTTAAGACGAAATCTCACTCTGTCACCCAGGCTGGAGTGCAGTGGCATGATCTCAGCTCACTGCAGTCTCTGCGTCCCTGGTTGAGGCAATTCTCTAGCCTCAACCTCCCAGGTAGCTGGGATTATGGGCGCACATTGCCATGCCCAGCTACTTTTTGTATTTTTAGTAGAGACGGGGTTTCACCATGTTGGCCAGGTTGGTCTCAAACTACTGGCCTCAAGTGATTCAACTGCCTTGGCCTCCCAAAGTGCTGGGATGACAGGCATGAACCACCATGCCTGGCCTGAATTAAGTGTTAACGATAACTCTGGTATCTGTTTGTGGAATAGAGTGTACAGTAGCAAGACAGGGAGTGGAGAAAATGGTTAGAAGAACATGAACTTCAGAAGCTGGAAGTTTCGAAGGAGGAGGATAGTGCTTTGGAAAGAGCAAGGGGGGAGAATTGGTGAGAAAAGACTATCCTACCTCCAGGCCCTGGGTGTGAGGAGTGATCCTCTGAGGCCAGCCAGGTCCAGGGAGTGGGCAGAAAGGAAGTAAACATTCAGAAAAGATGATGTAGCTCCGGCAAATCATAGGATGGCAAGTTTTTATTGAACATGTATTGTCTGTCTAGCGGGATTCTAAGTGCTTTTCCTGCAACGACTTGTTTAGTCCTGTTGGTAATCCTAAACTGTAGATACTGTTAATAGCTCCATATCACATAGGAAACTGACACAGTTAAGAAACATGCAGCGAGTAAGCAATATGGCCTGGTTGGCATTACTAATTTCAGAAGTCAGAGTGGAAAGTGGAGGGGTTGTCAGGGAGGGTTGGAGCGTGCTCTCACTAAGGGAGGGGTCGACCGGTCTAGAGATGAGACCCGGATGGCAAACATGACCTGGGAGGTTGTGTTGGATGTAAAGCTTGCTCCTTGATGCCATTTGCCCTGAATGACACTAGAGGAAGTTTCCCCATCAGTTCAGACCGGAAGTCTGGAGTCTAGGAGTGACTGCTCTTTCTTAAAGCTTCCTGTGGGGTGGGCCCCAGGGCCTCCTCCTTGGAATCGCTTTCTTAGGCAGCTTGTGGGGCAAGAAGAGTTTTATCTAAACAAGAGAGTGTCTGGACTCCTTTTATCCCACTGCCCTTGAGTTGGAGAATGTTCATATTTACACATTTCTGGTATGTTTTACTGCGATTTTCATTTGGAGAAATGATAGAGAACATTCATTAGGCACTTACAATGTGTTAGGTTCTATGCTGAGCACTTGACATACGGTATTCCCTCAGTAAACACAACAGTCTTATGACACAGCTACTATTCTTGCTCCCCTTTTTCTGGTGGATTAACTGAACTCTAAACAGGTTACATCATTTGGCCAAAGTGCTATATAGTAGGTGGTGGACCTGAGATTTAAACCTTATAACCTGATACCAGAGATTATATCCTCACTCTGCTGTAAGTGAGGAAGATAGGTTTGCTAAGTTGGGAGCAGTGCTGCCCAAGAAGTCTCTGTAAATCCCAAAAGAATGGGAGATGGTAGCAACACAAAGTTTGAAGAGGAACCTTGAGAGCGAATGGCTAACGTCTTCCTTCCATGACCATACTGATTTTGAAATGTTGGTGGATCAACTACCAACATCAGTGATGCACCTGAAGATAATGGACTCGGGAGAAGACAAGGGTGAGAAAGGGAAATTGTTGTGAATAGAAAAAGGAAATTATTGGTTTACTTAACTTGTCTTCCACTACTTTACCTAAAAGTAACAGCACACAAATACTCTCTCCCCCTTTGAATTGCAAAGTGAACACCTAACAAAACTGCCTACTTCCCCACTCTCCCTGCAGACAAGGAAAATGATGGGATTATAGATAATTTTTTGGTAAGAGATTTTAGTTTTCCATTATTTTAAAAGATAAATATACAGCTTATTTTTTTAAAGAAATTGTTTAAATAAATAAGATTCTTTAGGCATCATATTAAATTGAATTCATTTCATCACTTTAAAAAATGGATTTTCTTTGACACTGACCTACTCCTGTCCAAAAGCATGGGTGGATGATCGGGTCTCAGTTTTCTAGGCTCCGGGATCCTGGCAGAGTTACTTTTTAATTACTTCTCTGTGTTTCTCCAACTTGAAAATACTTAGACTTCCAAGACAACCGAACCACTATGGAAGAGCCATGAATTTCCCTGCCAAATGGCCATGAGTAAGAAGATGACCTCTCAGGTTGCTCTCAGTTCCTCATTTGTGTTCTAAAAGAATTCATTAACCTGTAGATCAATTTGGGGTTTTGTTTGTTTGTTTGTTTGTTTGTTTTGTTGACTCACCTGGTGGATCAGATTTTGCTGTCACTAAAAGTTCCTTTAAGATCCTTGAAGAAAAAGTTATGAATAATAGGCATGTGTTTACTCATTTTACAAATGTATGTCACGTGCCTACTGTGTTCCAGACTCCAGATGCCAAAATGAATAAGCTGGGATCCTTCTTCTAAAGGCCTCATTGCTTCAAGAAATTATTTTTTTTTTTTAATTTTTTATTGGATTTTAGGTTTTGGGTACATGAGCAGAGCATGCAAGACAGTTGCATAGGAACACACATGGCAGTGTGCTTTTCTTTTCATCTCCCCTTCACCCACATTTGGCATTTCTCCCCAGGCTATCCCTCCCCACCTCCCCCTCCCACTGGCCCTCCCCTTTTCCCCCCAGTAGACCCCAGTGTTTAGTACTCCCCTTTCTGTGTCCATGTGTTCTCATTTTTCATCACCCGCCTATGAGTGAGAATATGCGGTGTTTCATTTTCTGTTCTTGTGTCAGTTTGCTGAGGATGACGTTCTCCAGATTCATCCATGTCCCTCTTTGCGGATTCAACGAGAGCTCCAATCCTGGGTTGTTCTCACAGAGCTGTCTTGAGTCCTCCCCCGCTTCAAGAAATTATTATAAAAATTGGTGAGGGACAAATACAGTCACCTGTATGGTGAGCCAGTCTGCGTCCCTTTGTGTAAAACACTCCTTGAAAGTTAAAGCCCTAACATACTCATAAAAAACATTCATCATCAGCTCACTGTTACCGTTTTTCACCCTTTTACACCTGATGTGAACCTGGGCTTTGCACCTCATGGAGGCATATACCTGCTCTTTAAGATGAAGTGATATTACCCAGAGAGACCACCTAGCTGGAAAGTAGCAGAGCCTGGCCTTGAACTTTTAATTCCTACTTCAGGGTACTTTCTTCTGTCTAGAATAAAATCCTGCATGTTTTCTGTGTACTTTATTTACCTTTCCAAGTGTTACTACTATTATTAATATTACTATCACAACCAACTTATTTAGATTAGCCTACATGTTTTACTGTAGTGACATGGTAGAGGCAAACTCAAAGCTGTCCTTTGAGCTGTCTCCCCAGTCCAGGACATGCACAGTTGTGGACAGATCATAGAAGACAGCTTCTATGTGAAGGTATGGGGTTAGGAGTGGGGAAGAGGGAAGTCCAGGATAATAAGAGGAACACGCAAGTGCTGATGGAGTGTTTGGAAAGTGAAAAGTATTGCTCATCGATTGAAAGAGATGTATTCAGAATTTCATACTTAAGTGTGACCAATTCTGAATGTCGTGGTTGTCACCTAATATGTGCTCAGTAAACACATGTTGACTGAATAAATAAATGTGGGGTGAAGAAATACAAAGCAAGGAGAGCAAGCCAACCCAGAATCTTCCTTGACTTTCTGTGAACCTCCTGGAATAGGTGATTTAACACCTCTGTGTCTCTAGGTAGAACTGAGAGGTGTCAGTGGCAGAGTTTATGGATATCTACCTTTAGATATTTAGAAAAGGAGTAGGTTTTGTATACCTGGAAGATGAAAGGGAGGATTTAGTAAGTTCAAAAGAGAAAGACTTTGGGACCAGCAACTTAATGAGACTCCAGCCTGAACCACAGAAAAGGGGCAGCCAAGCCTGTCTAGATGCCTCCCTTGCACCACATCAATGCACATGTGCCCACCACACTGGGGGTCACGCTTGGTTATCTGGCACGTTATGGAAACAAAAGAGTCAACCCTTTGGGGTAAGTCAGTGTTAGCTCATGTTGCTTCATTTTTGGAGCTGAGTAAAAAAGATGTGATGACTGCAGTAGCT